CAGACCATAGAGGGCCTTTTTGAGTTTATAGACATAATCAGTCTTCCTTGGTTCTTCAAAGCCTGGTGGTTGTTCCACATATACTTCTTCTTTGATATATCCATTTAGGAAGGCACTTTTCACGTCCATCTGAAACAGTTTAAAGTTATGAAAACAATCATAAGCTAATAGTAGCCTAATGGCTTCTAACCTGACAACTGGTGCATATGTTTTATCATAATCTATGCCTTCTTCTTGAGAATAGCCTTTTGCTACCAGTCTTGCTTTGTTTCTTGTGGCTTTCCCTTTGTCATCCAGTTTGTTTCTGAATACCCATTTTGTTCCAATTACTGGATGATTTTTAGGTCTTGGCACAAGCTCCCATACTTTATTGATTCTGAACTGCTGAAGTTCCTCCTGTATAGCTTCGATCCAGCTTTCATCTGATAATGCTTCACCAACTTCTTTTGGTTCTATTTCTAATATCAAGGCCAAGTTGCTGATGTTCTCCTTGTGTTTAGATCGAGTCTTGATACCATCTTCTATTTCTCCAATTATGAGGTTCTTCGGATGACTGGATTTATGTTTCCAGTTTCTGTCAAATTTTTCTTTTTGAATATTATCAGACTCTGAAGGTTCTGATTGAGTCTGGATTGTATCTTTTTTTCCTTCTTCTACGAATTCGACGATCTTTGGAGATTCTTGTTGAGCTTCTGATGACTCTTGAATGTTGGAAGATGATTCAGATTCATCTTTGTGAGTCTGAATATTTTCTTCAAACCTTACATTCATTGTTTCTTCCATAGTCTGAGACTTCTTGTTGAAGACTCTGTATGCTTTACTTGTAGTAGAATATCCAAGGATGAATCCTTCATCTGCTTTCTCATCAAACTTGCCAGTGCGGTCATTTGGATTTTTGAGAATAAAGCATTTACAACCAAACACACGAAAATATGAGATACTGGGCTTTCTACCTTTGTAAAGCTCATAGGGTGTTTTCTCAAGAATGGGTCTGAGAAAAACTCTGTTAATGATATAACATGCTGTAAAAACTGCATCTGCCTAGAAATGAAAGGGAATCTTGCTTTCAATCAACAGAGTTCTTGCCATTTCTTGCAAAGAACGATTTTTCCTTTCCACAACACCATTTTGTTCTGGTGTATATGGAGTAGAAAAATTGTGTTGAAAGCCATTTTCCTCACAAAAATCTGAAAAACTTTGATTTTCAAATTCTCCCCCATGATCAGTTTTAATGCAGGAAATGGTCTAGCCCTTTTCATTCTGAACTCTTTTTGCAAATTTTGAAAAATATGAAAATGCTTCATATTTATGAGCAAGAAAGAATACCCATGTAAATCTTGTGAAGTCATCAACAATAACTAAACAATACTTCTTACCATCAATACTTTGTGTTCTAATTGGTCCAAATAGATCCATATGAAGAAGCTGCAAAGCATGATTAGTGGAAACATGATTTATGGATTTAAAAGAGCTTCTTACTTGTTTTCCTAGAGTGCATGCATTGCATAACTCTGATTTCTTGTATTTCAAATCTGGCAGACCTCGAGCCAGTTTCTTGTTTGAAATCTTTGAGATTTGTTTCATACTGATATGCCCCAATCTTCTGTGCCATAAATCTTCATCCTCTTTGATTGAGATCAAACAATGAGTGGAGTTTGGATTGACATCTAGAAGATAAATATTGCCATGTCTTCTTCTTGTGAATGTTTGAGAAGAATCTTTGCTTGTTCCTGAGCACGTATCTTCTTGAAAATTGATTCTGAAACCTGTATCACACAGTTGGCTTATGCTAATCAAGTTGTAGTTGAGTCCTTTTACCAATGAAACATCATTGATTGTGAGTCCTCCAATTTCAACTGTTCCTTTGCCAACTATTTTTCCTTTGTTATTTCCTCCAAAGTAAACTTTTCCACCATTCAGACTTTGTAGTTCAGCGAATATGCTTGGATCTCCTGTCATGTGTCTAGAGCATCCACTGTCTAGGTACCGCTTTCTTTTTCTCTTCGTGGTAACCTGCAAAAATTGCAACATCTCTAGTTTTCTTTGGTACCCAAATTTGTTTGGGTCCTTGAGGATTAGTGTAGGCTGTCTTAACAAAGTCTCTTCGAACAGGTCTCCAGACCTTAGGACATTCATTCTCAAAATATTGTGGATCTCCACATTTTGAGCACCCGAGCGCACTTCGGCTAACAGGTTTGACAAATTTCTTTTGAAATGATTTTTATAAGCTTGTCGAGGAGGTCTTTGTTTTAATCTCTCCTTGACCTTTGGAAAATCAATCAAGCTATCACTTTCCTTCACAAATCCGAGACCAGATTTGTTATAGTAACGAATTTGGATAGAAAGGATATGCTTCAAGGTTTCTGAACCTTTTGAAAACTTGGAAGTTATTTCTGAAACTTCCTTTTTCAAAACAGCATTTTCTTTGGAAAGAAAACCTCGACTTTCCTTGATTTGATGAAATTCTTTTTGAAGGAAATCGATTTTTTCTTTTTGAGAAACATCCTGTTGCCTCAGTGATGAATTTTCCTTTTTCAAATAAGAGATTCTTTTAAGAGCAGTCTTAAATTCAAAACATAATTCATCAATGTAATTTGATACTTCAATAGGCATATCAGAATGCTTTACCTCAATTTCCACTTTAGGATCAGAATCTGAATCTGAATCTGAGTCTGACTTAGCCATTAGACAGAAATTTGAAATATCTTCATCACTGTCTTCGCACTCTGTATCACTCCAGGTTTCTGCCTTTAAGGCCTTCTTTGCTTTCTCAAATTTGGTCTTCTTTTTCAGAAGTGGACAATTTGGCTTGATATGTCCACGTTTCCTACAGTGAAAGCATATTACATCCTTTGATCTCTCTGTTTCATCGATAGACTTCTTCTTCTCAAAAGGCTTCTTCCCTTTGAGGTTTCTTCCTTTGATCTTCATCTTCTTATACTTCTTTATGAAGAGAGCTAGTTCTTCATCGTCAACATCTTCATCTTCAGAATCTGCATCAAAATCAATGTTAGTTTTTAATGCAATTGATTTATTACCTCTGGATTCATTCTCCTCATTTCGTTGCTCAATCTCATATGATTGAAGAGTTCCAATCAACTCATTTACTGAGAGAGGCTTGATCCTTTGTGTCTCTCGAAGAGATGTTTTGATATTATCCCACTTTTTTGTCAGTCCTCTCAGTAGTTTGTTGACTTTCATTGCATCTGGGACTGGTTGTCCTTGATATGCAAGACCGTTTACTATGTCAGTAAACCTGTCATACAGTAAACCTGTCATACATATCAGCAATTGATTCTTCAGGCTTCATTTTGAAGGATTCATATTGACCAAGCAAGAGATTGATTTGAGTTTCCTTGGCTCGATTTGTTCCTTCATAAGTAGTGTGGAAAGTATCCCAGATTTCCTTAGCTGATTCACAAGCAGCAATTTTTTTATATTCAATAGGAGATAAGGCACAATATAAAGAATAAATTACTTTGGAATCTAAGGTTTCTCTTTTGGATATCTCAATTTGAGATAATGGAGGATCTGCTGCTTTGCTTGTATCTGCCTTTTCTTTTGAATCAGAAGAATTTGGCTTGACTCCTCTGATGATGACATCCCATTGCATGTGATCTATTGACTTAATGAATGCCTTCATCTTATTCTTCCAGACACTATAATCCTTGCCATCGAAATATGGTGGTCTGTTGTTGCTTTGTCCTTCAATGAGACCTGGAGCACTCAAGCTAGCCATATAGATCGTTAGCTCAGAAGAAAAACACTTCAATGAATGAGCAACCTGCTCTGATACCAATTGATGTAGCTAGCAAGGATCACCTAGAGGGGGGTGAATAGGTGATCTTAAACAATTTTTATATTTTTATGCGGAAATGAAAAATCACAGATGAGTCTGAATAAAATTCAGATTCAAGACAGATTGAATAGACAGAGCTCTTGATGTGCAGAATGTAAAATAAGAGATAAGGGATAGAAAATCTGCACACAAGTTTATAGTGGTTCGGCTTATAGTAAGCATACGTCCACTCTCCCACGCTGACAGCCTACCGGCTGGATTTCACTATGTAATCAATGAGGAATTACAGTTTTAGAGTGACAGCACTCTTGTGTATGATAGGACTCTCTATCTCACACAATCACCCTTACAAAGTATCCCTCAAGATCTTAATTTTGGCTCAGCAAGATAAGAGAAAAATGATCGGAGTATGCTCAGACTTTGGACTTGTTGATTCTTGATTCACTTTCACCTTCTACTGCTCGTTGATCTCCTTAAATACTCCTCTACTTCCAAACTAGCCGTTGGACAGCTATCAGAGGATCATCTTCCAATCTTCACCTTGGACAGATTTGTATAATAAGCATTGAGTAGCCGTTGGATGACAGATTCTGAATCCCGCTGATTCTGGTCGCCCATACAATTAGAATCTTGGTTTCCATAAGTAGAGTTTTTATCCGTTGTAATGCATACTTGTCGAAGTATTTGATTGTCAATCAATTATAGCCTTAGATTGAAACAATCAAAACTTTCCTTCTGTGAAATCCATACCAGATCACTAGCTGTAATGTTTGGTTCTGAATTCTGCGTCTGCATCTGAAGAACTTCTGCGTCTGCGTCTGAAGAACTTCTGCGTCTGCGTCTGAATAATTTCTTCGTCTGAATCTCAGAACTAAGATTATGTGGGTCTTCAATAAGGTATTTAACAGCTTGTAAAGTCTGAATAACTTCCTTCTGAGTCTTCCAGAATATACATACCTGGAATAAATTAATTCAGAATAAGTATTAGATTTACAATAATATAGAAGGTTTTATCAACTTCAAAATTAATAAGAGTTTTCCTCAACACATTATACAAGTGGGTTAGAATCGATATGTGTAACAGTTGGCCTTGGTTATATCAACCGGTCTATTTTTATATGTTCAGGATTTTCTGAACCCAACCCATTCGGGATCGCTGTTCTTATCGTCCTTAACTACGACGACCACGACCAGCTCAAAGTCAAAGTCTCCCCCCGTACATCACTGAGAGGAGTTGAAAGCTTTTGAGTCCAAGACAAAGATGATGCACAATGGAAGGAGCTGAAATGGATGAGGAGCGTTCCTTTCGGAGGCAAGAATTGGAGTCCTTCGACACGCTCAAAGCAGCTCTCAAGCTCTACCTCCACAATTCCAACTTCATCGTCTTCACTCTCTTCACTTCCATCCCACTGTGTACTCTTTTGGTTTACTCTGAAATAATCCTCCACAAGACTTTGTACGAGGTTTCAGAGTTCCTCTCCGGAACTCCCGATTACTCGTATTACCACGATGGCCCTCGTCCAGATAGTTACGCTGCAAGATTGACCCGAGAGACACTTCCCAAGATCATCCAAGTTTTTCTGCTTTACTTGGTGCCTTACCATCTCCTAGACCTCTTCAGCTTAGTCTTGACGGTCGATTCGGCAGCGGATCTGATCGGTGCAGAGGAAAAGCCGGCCAGTCTCAAGCACGTCGCCCTGAAAGCTCTCAAGAAAGCCCGGTTCAGAGGCCCCTTCATCACGTCCCTGTACGTTCACTTGTTCTCCATCTGTACTTTCGTTGGGCTGATGTGGGTAGTCGCAAATTACCAAATTCTATTGAGGGTTGGGTTTTCGTCTCTCTACATGAGTTTTTTCAGTTTTCCAAGAGGGTACTTAAAAGAATTAGTCTTGTTGGGTTTAGTCCATGGAGTGGCTTTCATGGCCCTGCTCATGAAGTACATGGACTGGAGTGCTGAGTGGAACATGGGTTTGGTCGTTTCTATCTTGGAGGACTCATATGGGAGTGAGGCAATGGAGGTCTCTGCTTATTTGAGCAAAGGGAACAATAAGAAGGGTGCTTTTCTGATGTTGGTGTTCTTCTTGTGGGGACTTTGTCTGAGGTTGCCTTGTCTCTATGGCAAGTGTAGCGAGAGAAATGGTGGGGTTTTGGTCATTAGTGTGGTGATGTGTCTGGTTTGTGTGGGGAATGTGTTGAAGTGGGTGACTAGCTTGTTGTACTTCAAGGAGTGCAAGAAGAGGGTTATGGAGAAGAAATTTGATGAGGAAGAAGGGGAGAGTGTTGTTCAAGCAATGGTGCAAGAGAAGACGAGAGTCGTGCAACCAGAAGCCGAAGCTGTTGGCAGCGCCTGACAACCATACAACGTGGCCTCTCCATTTGCAAGATCTGCAATTCTGTACTACTATTTATCCTTTTCATGTAAGCACAGAACCAGTAGATTCTATGTAGCAAAATTTTAAAGTATAAGATCAAATGGAATCCGGTGAAATCTCGCGTGAAATTTATCTAGTCACTTTCTCTAGCATCCCCTGCGACGATCATCTAGTCAACTGATGAATTGCTTTGGTCTCGGTCGGCATTTGGCAATTAGTTAAGTCAAATGTTCATGTGCCCGAACCATATTTTTCCATTCTAGAATCAGTAATATTTTCAAGGTCTCGGTTTTACACGGTCGTGCACTCTGATGTTAAGAGTCTAGACCATGGCGACAGAAAAGAGAAAAATTTTGCTTACCATCTCTAAAGAAGGTTAAGGACCTTCATGTAACAGTAGCTTAAAGAGAGAGAGAGAGAGGGAGAGGCGAGAGCAGGTCATGGAAACCCATGAAATCCTCAAAGAAGCTTTCTTTAGCCCCATTCAATAACATTGACTTTCTCATCTTCACTTTTGCCACTTCCCTTATTGCGGAAGTCAAGCGATCGAACAATAAAATTGACAGAATAAGAAAATAAATCGGACACCAGATTTACGTGGTTCGGTCGTAGTGACTTACGTCCACGGGAAGAGTAGTACGGAATTCCACTATATATCAAGCGATACAACGGAGATTACAACCACACTCGAGTCACTCAAACACTCTAAGTGTTTCCCAAGCCCCAATTACACCCAATAACTCACGCAGTGTTTAGCCCCACAATTCCTCACGAAATAATCTCTCAATCTCGCAAAAGAATTGTACACAAATCTTAACACAAGATTTAATCGCTACGAACACTTGAGTTCTTGGTGTAATTCCACGAACAAAATCCCAGTGAGATAAATCCACGCCAAGCACTCGACGTCAATCGCGGCGCTTCAAGACTTCTCTGCACTTCAAAGCATCCCCTGACCATGAACATATATATCAGGAAGTCCCATGTTGGTCAACAAACGAAGTCCACGCGGATTAGGATCAGGAAACAAATCCAGCCATGCTTTTCTTTTCCTTTTATTTTATTTCTTCTTTCCACTTCTGGCCGTGAATTCCACAAGAATTAGGAAAGTATAATATTCTTTCTTTCTTCTAACACATTGACCGAGTCAAAGTTCAACATAAAATTCATGTGGACTTTCCAGTTTGAGAACAAGGACTCCAACGTGCATTAGGAAAGTGAATTTCAAATATTTCCTTTTTGCTCGGTTTCGGAGATCCGCAAAATATCCAATTCAGAATATTTAGATTTCGCTTTGGGCTCAAACTCGAGACATATTTTCAACAATCTCCACCTTGACTCGACGTTTGAGCCAAGTAACAATCGCTTCAATAGAATCCGAATTCCGCTACTACTCTCCCACAGCCCCAATGGGCTCAACCGCCACAAACGTCTTTGAAGTCCAAGCCTCGCTTGAACTTTGCCATAGCCGTGGACCTCATCAGAACACCAACTCCACATGCACCTTTAACCGCTTCACAAGGATTTTCCGACACAATCTCCTTAACCGCAGATAAAGCAAAACCATCGTTGCATCCATATCTATCAGGAGATCGAATACGCACCTTGTCAATTTTAGCAGTTACAGCAATCGTTGGCTCAATAGGCTCCACCTCGCTATAAGCACCATCCGTCCGTGTCGATTATTTCGTTAGTACCCCCTACCTCAGGAGTTTCTGGTTGCAACTCCACCTCAAGCTGAAGACCGTCCAGATCCGTATAAACACTGCTATTAACACTCCTAGCCAGAAATACTGGAGACTCGTCAAATGTAACTTCTCTGCTAATAACAGGTGAATTTAATTCCGGGCACCACAACTTATAGCCCCGCTCACCTTGTGCATAACCTAGGAACATGCACTTTCTTGTCCTTCCATCGAGCTTACCATCACTAACTCGAACATAACATGGACAACCAAATATTCTAAGAACAGAATAATCAGCAACGTTACCTGACCACACTTCTTCGGGAGTCCGACATTCAATCGCAGTCGATGGAGATCTATTCTTCAGGTAGCTCGCCGTACTAAGCACATCCGCCAGGAATCTCCTAGCCATACCAGCACTAGAGAGCATTTTATGGGCCGTCTCTAGTAATGTTCTGCTCATCAACTCTGCAACATGTTGTGATTCATTGGCACTAGTGCGGTGTTTCACTATGCCTTCCTTCATGCAGAATTCGTTTAACAGCTTCGAGCAAAACTCCATACTACTGTCAGTCCGCACCTGCTTGATCGTTTTACCAGTTTCCTTTTCGATCAAAGCTTTTAACTGCCTGATCCTGACAACAGCATCAAACTTGTGCCTTAGCACAAACACCCAAGTCTTCCTCGAGTAGTCATCAACAACTGTTAGCATAAATCTGGCACTCTTCCTCGAAGGAAATCGCGACAACCTGCGAACATCCAAGTGAATTAATTCTGCAATATCCGTGATTTCTCTAACAACCGTACTGAACTGCACTTTCCGCCGTTGATCTAAATCACAGCACCTGCATACATTCAGTTCGTTAGCCACATAACCACATAGCAAATTTTTTTCACTTAGAGCCTTCAGGCTTCTCTCGCTAATGTGCCCCAAACGCATATGCCACAATTCAGACTCTCGAACTGATGCATCCGACGTCTCCGCAGCAAATTCCGTCACTGTCTCACCTTGAAGCTCATACAGGCCACTATGCTTGATTCCTTTCATTATCACCAGGGCACCTCGAAGAACTTTCAGAACTCCATATTCTGAAGAATACCGACACCCAGCTGAATCTAGGGCACTCAAGGAAATCAGATTTTTCCTCAACTCTGGAACATGCCTCACGCCAGTCAATGTCCTCATAATACCGTCATGCATTCTGATTCTGACATCACCAACACCTACAACATTGTATTCAGAATTGTTCCCCAACTGCACTTTACTACTATCCGTGCACTGATAAGTAGTAAACCAGTTTCTGTTTGGTGTAGCATGAAAAGAACAACCAGAATCCATAATCCATCCATCAAACGATGAATTATCAATGACAGACAAGACAAAATCAGCACTATCCGAATTACTGTCTGCTATAGCTGCAACATCATCCGCAGACTCAACTCTAATTCCCTGACCCTTGTCGTTTTTCAGCTTAAGACAATCCCTTCTAATATGCCCCCTCTTGCCACAACTCCAACAGACAATACCACCAGTCCTAGACTGACTTCGTCTATTCGAGTTCATACGACTCCTGCTAATACGTGTACCAATTCTTCCTCTATTTTCACCTACTAAAGCAGCAGATACATGTTCGCCAGATTCTCTTCTACGGATATCTTCACTTAGAATTAAATCTCGAACACCATCAAACGTCAAACTTGTTGACCCAGAGGAATTACTAACAGCAGTAACAGTAGTATTCCAACTATCAGGCAATGAGGATAATAGAATCAAAGCACGTACATCATCTTCAAAATCAATCTCAACTGAACTCAATTAACTAACGATCACATTGAATTCATTAATATGATCAGCAACTGATGCACCTTCGTTCATCTTCAAGTTAAACAGACGTCGCATCAAATAGACCTTGTTGATCGCAAAAGGCTTCTCGTACATGTCCGACAGGGCTTTCATCAAACCCGCAGTGGTTGTCTCTTTCACGATGTTAAACGCGACGTTACGTGCCAACGTCAGCCGAATAACACCCAAAGCTCGTCTATCCAGCAATTCCCAATCAGCTTGCTTCATCGTCTCTGGCTTCTCCCCGGACAAGGGCAAGTGCAATTTCATCTGATATAGATGATCCTCAATCTGCATCTTCCAGAAACCAAAATCTTTCCCATCAAATCTGTCGATTCTCACTTTTCCTTCTTCTGTCGCCATCGATTCACTTCAACTCAGCCAAGTCTAGCTCTGATACCAATTGTTGCGGAAGCCAAGCGATCAAACAATAAAATTGACAGAATAAGAAAATAAATCGGACACCAGATTTACGTGGTTCGGTCGTAGTGACTTACGTCCACGGGGAGAGCAGCACGGAATTCTACTATAGATCAAGCGATACAACGGAGATTACAACCACACTCGACTCACTCAAACACTCTAAGTGTTTCCCAAGCCCCAATTACACCCAATAACTCACGCAGTGTTTAGCCCCACAATTTCTCACGAAATAATCTCTCAATCTCGCAAAAGAATTGTACACAAATCTTAACACAAGATTTAATCGCTACGAACACTTGAGTTCTTGGTGTAATTCCACGAACAAAATCCCAGTGAGATAAACCCACGCCAAGCACTCGACGTCAACCGCGGCGCTTCAAGACTTCTCTGCACTTCAAAGCATCCCCTGACCATGAACATATATATCAGGAAGTCCCATGTTGGTCAACAAACGAAGTCCACGCGGATTAGGATCAGGAAACAAATCCAGCCATGCTTTTCTTTTCCTTTTATTTTATTTCTTCTTTCCACTTCTGGCCGTGAATTCCACAAGAATTAGGAAAGTATAATATTCTTTCTTTCTTCTAACACATTGACCGAGTCAAAGTTCAACATAAAATTCATGTGGACTTTCCAGTTTGAGAACAAGGACTCCAACGTGCATTAGGAAAGTGAATTTCAAATATTTCCTTTTTGCTCGGTTTCGGAGATCCGCAAAATATCCAATTCAGAATATTTAGATTTCGCTTTGGGCTCAAACTCGAGACATATTTTCAACATCCCTCCCTCTCTTTGCCTTCCTGGTCTTCTATGAACTCCTTGACAAACAGTCAGTGGAGCCATGGATATTTTAAGCTGCCCCCTGATTATTTCAGCACGGACTTCTCGTTTGAATTAGTTTGACTGGGTCTATTTTATCTGGTTCCTCTTCTTCTCCTGGAGTTCTGCGTTGTAACAATTATCATCAATTTGGCATTGAAAATTTACACGGGCAGTCCAATGATGTCTCTAAGGGATACGGCGAACTGACCAATTCAAGAGTCCAAGCTAAAGAGGACTCTTATCACTTCCTTCAGTGTATTCTTGGCTAAGATGTCCTCTAATGGGACCACTACGGTCGTCCGCAAAATACTACAAGCTGAAGGAATCACATGGAGATGTGCTT